TTTTTTGGTTTTTCTCCGGTACCAGGAACCGAACTCACGACCTTGCGCTTGCCAGGCAGGTGCTTTTGCCGCTGAGCTAAATCCCCAGCCCCTGAGATAGGGTCTTGCTATGCAGTTCACGCTGGCCTTTAACTCATGGCAATCGTCCTGCCTCAGCCTCACGAATGCTGGCATTACAGGAGTGCGCTACCATACCTGGCCCTAACTCATACTCTTAAGGCAACAAGGACAAACATATTTGTAAGAAATAGTAATAATTGGATCTGATACTCAGATATGAAAATTTTCAGAATTTTTAAATAGCACATACCTTTTCTCTTTCTTTTTGAAGTTGGTTCTCCAGTTTTTTGCCTTTACTAGTAGCATGCTTTAATTTTTCCCTAACTTGAACATCTTCCAAATCCAGCTGTGTAAATTTTTCTTTATTCTCCTCAATGAATTTTGTAATTTTATTGAGTTTCCTAGCAAAGTGAGTAAAGTACTAGTTATTATTTTGGATGATAAATTATTTTAAAATCATGTCTATATGCCTTATGGGTCATTTCCTCTATAAGTATGTTCAAGCTCTTATTAGAAAGGATTCTAAAATTATCCCCCTTCCAAGCTGACTTCCCAAAAGTCAAAGTTGTTAAAATTTCTCATTATAAAGCTTTTTTGCTTTCCTAATATGAAAGGAAATACATTTTCCAGTGACTATGACATCTAGGTACATAAAATTTTACCATAAAAAGATTAACCTATTAGGTCAAATGCTTTGGTTTTATAAATGCGTTCTGCCACTAGGGGGCAGCACCCCCACTATTTTAATACCAGTGTTGGGTACACATACATTCTCTAACAATGAGTTGGATACAGGGCAGTAATTTCTTTTAAACTCCAAAAGGAGACCATCTCACATACTGACAAATGTATTATAATTTGTGTGAAGTTTACATATAGACATATGCATAATACAGATTAAATCTAAATACATTCAGTACTTTCCAAAGTATCATTACTTCTCTGTATCTTGTACAGCTTTATTCTTTGCTTTCATTTCATTTGACAGTATACTGCTCCTCTCATTAATTTCTTTGGCATCTTCATGAATCTTTTCCTTTTGCATCTCCATTTCAGTAATTCGTTTCTGCAAATCATAACTAGAGAGACAGAAAAAACAGGTATCTTAAAATGACGTTTCTAAAACTATACAACTGTTTTAGTAAAATAGCAGTTTCTAATGTATTTGTAACTGTAGTCAACTTACAATCACCTAGGGCTATGACACCCCTCAAGTTTAAAGCTAGAATTTAGGAATAAAATAGATTCATTGTAAATAAAATGAGATCTCCTACTATGTGAATTTAAAAGCATAAACAGTAGTAACCTCTTTATTCCTGTTTAGCCTTACCAGGGTTTTAGTTACCCGCTGATGACTACTGTCTGAAAATGTTAAATGGTAAATTCCAGAAATAAGCAATTTATTAGTTTTAAATCACACACCATTCTGGTCCATAATGTTCTTCTATGTTCAGTATTCCCACACTGTATACACTCACCACCATTAAGTGATGCAAAGGAGAAACCAGGGCATAAAACATGGAGGAAAAATTACCTCTGTACTATGACACTGCTGCAAGGCATATAGGTAAAAAAACAGTATACATACATAACAGTTTGGTACAACCCATAGTTTTGTATATCTACTGGGGGTCTTGGAATATTATCTAATCCTTTATCTGAGGGGATTACTGTGCATGTAAAAGTATTAATAATAAATACTTGTGAAACCTCCTCCCAATTTAAAGCAGGATATCAAAATGTCAGTATTCACAAACTAAATAATCCTAATTCAATGAATTTATCACTTAAACTTCAGAAATTTTGTTCACATCAGTTTCCACATTACTGTAAGGGCTTTGATTAAATACAAATACATAAAAACAGACAAATTAAGGTACTTACATATAATACTGACAAACATGATTTTTTTTCCTAAATATTTCATTTTCCAAGTTAAGAAATTCAATGGCTATGTTTTTCTCTCCTTCTAAGGCATCCTTTTCCTTTTCCACCATTTTAACTCTGTTTAACTACAAAATTAAAAATTTAAAGATCAAATATATACTTCACTCAATCTGAGTTTAAACTATGCCAACCTTAGAAACTGTATTAACAAAGAATATGCTCATTTTAAATGCTGACAATATAAAAACAGAAATTTTAATCTAAAATAATAAAGATTTCAATTAAAAATTATTACATGACTATTTGACTCAGTAAAATTTTTAAATTCATAAACTTAACATTCTGATTTATAGTAAAACTGTAACACAGATTCACCTTTTCTCCTCTGTGTTCATTTAGTATTTCAACTCTTCGACACAGGACTTTAATAGGTTCATTTAGCCGTCCACAACCAATTATATCTTCTAAATATTCAAGCATACCCTCGTCATGTTCAGTCTGGCCTTTTGGTTTCATCATAGCTATTTGCTCAACTTCACCCTTAAAAAAAGTCATATTTATACTCATTGTGTATGTTTAAATCAATTGTGAGAACTGGGGGAAGTCAAACAGTAAAACTAAATAGTGTGCATCTAGTAACTCAAAAAGATTTTAAATATGTACTGCACTTATATTCCCTTACACGATTCTTATAAAATCCTAACATACACCACAGATACATAAAGCCACAAGGAAGTTCCCCATCTAGAATGGCCTTTTAATAGAATTTTCCTATTAAGCAAAATTTAGCAAAGTATCGATGTAGTCAGCAACCTTATCACTGCAGCGACATCACCAACCATTAATAACAGTCAGAACTCCTGTTCAAAAGCACTTCATAGCTAAACTGTACAAGGAAACCTGTCCCAAGGTGATAAGGACAGTTTCTCTATATAGCTATATAATATATATATATTTATAATACCTCAACAAGTGCTTCATAAGCATGTTTAAAACTCAAGTCTAATTTTCTAAAAGTAAAAGCCTTAAATGGAAAAGGTTAACAATTTCTCATAGTAATAAAAGAAACCCAACTGATCACGCTGACTACAGAAAACAAATGGCCTTGGAACAGGAAACTTTACTACAGGACACTTTTGCTCACCATCCCCAACCTAACAACTCTGAACTCCAATTAAAATCTTCCGTTAGTATTTGTATTTATGCAGCTCAACTACAAAGACAAAAAGAAAGATCTATAATCAGTCAAGGTTCACTGCTAGGGAGCCATTCATTTTGATAAAGAAAATTCTGTCTGAACGTGTCCAGACAAGATGCTTTTACTTTAGTTCGTAGAAGTAGCCTGCTTATATATACTCTGCCAACTACTATAACAAAAGAAAAGACACAGGCAGGCAACTGGAAAAAAATACAACTCTCATTTTCAGCAAAATAGCTTAGAAAGTCAAGAAAAAAAATACTCATTAAAGTACCTTAGCAATCCTCATTTTTTTAGTGTCTGATTCAACCTTCAAAATTTGAGATAAAATTTGTTGCTGATAAAATAAAAGGTGTAATATTTAAATAAACATCAAAATAGTTTGTTTTCCACTTATATAAAATAATTAAAGACAACACAACTCAGTTTGTTGTGTTATATAAAATAATTAAAGACAACACAACTCAATCTTCTCAATGGCAGGCATAATTTTTAATAGCTTTATAGCTCATCACTTTTCAGTAGACCAACACTCCATTAGCACCATGTTAAGTATAAACTGAAATTTATATTCAAAAGGTCTGTTATTTTTCTGTAAGATTCAGTACCTTATGTATGAATACTAAATGGAGATATTTATGTGCACTATTTTCCTCTGCTTTGTCAAATGTTTGCAGCAATAACTGCAGCAATAATTTAAGTTTTAGACAGGATTTTTGTTTGTTTGTTTTTCTGGTACCGGGAATCGAACTCATGACGTTGTGCTTGCCAGGCAGGCACTGTGCAGCTGAGCTAAACCCCCAGTCCCCCAGAATTTAAGCCTGCAAGAATGCCCAAAACTTTGGTTTAGAACAGGATGAATTTAGTCTTTGAAGAAACCAAGAATTTTTTGAAATTTTTATTTAGGTAACGTTTATCAATAGCGGTCCTACCGTACTGTTATTTGGCATGGCTTCTCTTTGTTGTGAGAGTTGTACTTAGTACTGTAAAAATGCTTAAGAGCATCTGACCCATATTTACTATATGCTATTAGCATTCCTCTCTATCAGCTGCAACAACTGAAAATGTCTCCAGCTGTTCTGGGAGAGGGGTACAGAACTATTCCTAATTGAGAACCACTCATCTAGAGGCTGTAGTTTAAAACCTGATTTATCCAAATGATATCTGACAACCAATATTTTAATATAGTACTTATCAAGTTGAATATTTAAATACCTATTTTAAGATAAATGAAAAACCATGTCAAAAGAATTTACATCAAATGGCCATAAGGTATTACTTAAGTCTATATTTTTCAGATAACCAAAAGCTGGGATCCAGTGTATAGTCTGTACAGATTAAAAACATTGCTAATAGCAGCACACGTTTTCCTGGCTACATTACTTCTTGAAGAAATGGTGTACAGCTATTAGGAAACAGCCTAGCTTTGGCTAAAGCAGACTAGTTGCTTGTTTTGGTTATTTGTTCCTTTTTTCCCAAATAAGATGAAGGACATACAGCTCATTTCCTCTCACTCTAATAACTGTCTAGCTTTAAAAAATGTTGAAAGACAAATTCATCTATGACTCAAAATAGTTCCACCTCAAGTCCACATTTACTGTACTGCATTCTTTTTTTAAACCAGTTACTGTATTCAGCTCAGCACTACTGAATCAACAGTGTGTAAACCATTTAGCCCATACTCACTTGACTTTTGACTATCAGGACTTCTATGGTTTTCCAATGAAAGCCAAGGAATTTCCTTGCAGTTCTGCTCCCCAATGTCCTCTATAAGCTCTACTACTTATTACCTTTTCTATCCTAATCTTTTCCCATTTTGTGCTATTTAACACATAATCTGCGAGTTGAAGTCTATGATTAGAGAAAAATTTACCAATCTCATGTGAGTTTTTAAGAGTTTTTACTTAGGGTAATAATGCAGTATATTTCGGAAATAATTCAAAAGCACTAATCTGAATTTATCAGTTACCCTTCCGTGTCAAGGCTCCAAATGACAGTGGTGCCACAAAAACACACAAGTATTTCAGTTTGTTATAATGTTAGCATCTGAACATGGCAAGATTTTACAGTACCTCGTATTACTGTATCTTTCTCGAGCTTTAAGGATAGCAAGCAAGGTTTTAAACCCTTATTTTCTCGGTTATGAATTATGCCGGGGGCTTGGCTATGGATGTAACTCGCTGGTAAAGCGACTGGCAAGCCGTGTGTGGGGCTCTGGGTTTGACCACCAGCATGACACACTCACAGAGGCCTTACATTTTAACTGACTGAAGGCTTTGCTGGGTGATACACAAGGGCACTGTGATCATACCAGTGATGGCAAAATTTTTAGCGCTTTCAGTGACACAGCCTGCTGCAGCACGTGTGCCACAGGTTGGCCACCACTGACACCATTCTTTGATAATCAAATCTGAGAGTAATGAAGAGGTATCTTCAGTCAAAATTTTAGCAAGCATATAGAAAACTCCAATAGTACACAGCTATAAAACATTTTGTTAAAAAGAAAAAATGAAAATAAACCTGAGTGTCTGCACCAAAATTAAATGGCCTGGAATTATTGGGTTTTGAGACCCCCTCCCCACCAAGTTAAGGAGCAAGCCCAAGGCCTTCTACATGCTAGGCATGTACTCCACCACTGAACTATAAACCCAACCCTTGAGCTTTGAACTTTCACTTCACCTTCATTTTTATTTTTCCCATTTTCACTGCACCGTAAAGTATTAATTACTCTGAATCTCCTAGTACATTTTACTCTCATTTGGCCTTTGGTAGCTATTACAGGCCAAGAAACAAAATCACTACGGTTAGTATCTGCTTAAGAAGTGCACATATAGAAAGGATAATGCTTTTGTGGTTGGACTTCATATATGGATGCTTAGGGGCAGCACCCTGTCTTCTTTCTCTCATGGTTGAGGTATGCAATCACATACCTTTGGAAAACTGAGGTACGGATTACTAACAAGGCTGAAACATTTCTTTTGTTATTATAGCAACGGGCTTACTTCTACTATTCAAAAGACTGTAACTTGAAGTGTATATGCCATGTCAACCTTAGGAGAACTACACTGAAAAAAAGGGTGATAGGTAACTCAGATCTAAGTTTAGTCTCCAAAGTTGAAAACAATAAACTTAGATCTTGTAATACAAAAAGTTGAAAGCTCTGACAAATTAAAGTTGTGTTAACAGTTGTGCCTTTTGCGGGGGAGGGGGGTACTGGGGATTAAACATAAGAAGTGCTGAGCTGTTTATCCTCAGCCCTTTTTTGAGACAAGATCTCAGCTAAGTTGCCCAGGTGGATCCCAAATTTTTGATATTCTTGTCTGAGCCTCCTGAGTAGGTGTTGGGATTACAGGAATGTGTAACCACATTAAGTCATAATCCAATACTTTTTGAAGGCATGCATAAGGGTAAAAAATAAGTTTTAACCCTCTTTGTATTTATAGCATCTTTGCACAGTGCCTTATTAGAAACTCATGTGAATGGGGCACTAATGAAATTTTAGAAGAATCAAAATACTAAAAGTGCTTACTTAAAAAAACCTACTAAGCTAGTATATGAACACTATGAAAATGTTTTTTAACCCTCATGGTCTTCTAAAATTTAGCGCTTTTTTAATTTTAAAAATAAAACTTTACTTCTGCTAAACTTAAGATTACCTGGGATGTGTTAACCATGAGTACTGTCTAAATGGCCTATATATTTCACTCAAAGTAATCATTTACACCTTGGTTGGTAATACGCTGTCTCCAACTTCACAGCCTCCAAAGTCATGGGTAGTTTTAAAGAAAAAGTCAGTAGAAGAGAAGGCAATAAAAAAACAATCTTACTTACCTTCAAATGCTTTATATCTCTATTATAAGAATCTAAAATTTTGATAAAAAGCAAAAAACAAAACAAAAACCCCATAGAAACCACTCCCATTCTCCCTCAAACTTAATAGTGCACAATTAATTCTACCTAGTCTAATCCTAGTTTTTTCTTTTAATAGCTAAGTTATTAAGGTTCATATCCACAAATTTAATTACATCATATTTAATCTGTTAACTTGGTATTATTCAGGAATAATATTTCAAAATAATTTAATTGTTAAGAGCACAGAAAAAGGTTCATATTATCATGAGGACAAATGGACAAACCTATCCTAGGTCTTTCGGAAGCACATATTTAATATAAATGTGACTACTTATAAATTATGTACTTCTTTATAAATTATTAACCTCCTTTATTAACTGCATTTTTTTTTTTTACAAAGAAGCTGAATGATGAAAAAAAATTACCCTTAAAAAGAGCTAAAATACAGTCTGTTTTGCTAAACCTTTGCATAGGTCTGTTAAGCTTTGATTATCCCAGGAGGACAGCAAAGAAACAGCAAAGAATAATCAGAAGGCTGAGGCAGGAGGATTGCTGGGAGTTTGAGGCCAGACTGGCCTACAAAGTGAGCTCAAGGCCAGCCTGAACTGCATAGTGAAACCCTGTCTTTAAAAAAAAAAAAAAAAAAAAAAAAAAAACCACAAAAAACAAAACAGAAGATAAACACAAGTATAATTTCTTCTGAAATAGTATCATTAGTAAATTGAACATTATAAAGGATATTTATCCATAATCAAATCAAATTCTAAAACATGATAACCCATAAAACAATTCAATTCAATTTAAAAAGAAACTCTGTAAACCTGTAATTCCACATTTAGATAAATTCAAATCTTGTTTAGATATCTGCAACTAATGTTCATTTTTAAGCAAGTTTGGGGTTATAGAAGTATAACAAATACAGTCTGGTAATAAAGGATACTGAGTGAAGTTTTACCAGAATGTTACTGATTTGCCTTGAACATTATACAGTAAATGTCTAAAATATTTAAAAAAACAGCTGAAGAATATAGACTAAATTGGAAATATTTGCTAACATTTCCTAAGTTTGTTAATGGGAAACAGTCACTCATCCCAAGAAAACATTTAGTATCAATTCAAAATTTTCAACTTGTTTTAAAATCAGTAGCACAAGACACTACTAGCAATTTCTGCTTATGGAGATAGTTGTGCTTTTCTTACTATGCTCTTGAGTGAGTCTGGACAGGCAATAGGACTAAGAAGCAGCCCTCAAACCCAACAGTAATTTTAAAACACTTGAAAATGCTATAGTTTCACAGTAAAAAAAATTTTTTTAAAAAAGCTAAGACACAGGGCAAAGAGGATTCCTCTTACCAAGCAATGCTGGTAGAACACACCTTTAGTTAAAAAAAATGCAGTCTCTTATCAAATTCAGCTTAGTACAGGGGTCTTAATTTTTATACTTAAAAAAAAAATTTTTGTTCTTTAAGAGTTGTGATACTTAAGAATGTTACACCAGTTATTTTCTGATCTACCAACAGTAGTGGCTCAAAAAAGTAAGTTATTCTAAACAAAAACCTATTTAAAGAAAAAACTTTAATTATTTTAAGTGTTAAAAGATTAAATAAAATTAGATATTGAGGAAAATTTGTCAAACATCAAGTATATAGGTTTCATTTTCTTTTTTGTTATTATTAAAAGAGATGAAACAAAAAGGACAGGCTATTAAGATAATGAATCTCATTTAAAATTTTATCTTAAAGGGAAATACAAACAAATGATAAATAGTTGCTATATCCCTGTCACACTAAAGCAGCACAATAATATTGGTGTTTAATGTTTATTTCACTACGCCAATATTTACGTGCTGCTAGAGTGGAACAAGTATGTCAGTCCATCCAAATGAACATATGATGATGAAAACATAGGTTTGAATGAATTTCCTTAAATTTCTAGAGCAGCATATAATGATTCGCATATTGAGTAAAGTATGTAAATCATGATGTGCTGCTAGAGTACTTTAAGGCCTCAAAAATACAGGATCCATCCAACAGGGAAAACCCCTAATCTATCATTATTGGGAAAAACAAACAGAAAACAAAAACAAGTTTTAGGAGTCTAGTTTTTAATAAATTTACCTGCAATATTAAAAATCTATTATGGTCCAAATCAATTCCATGGCTTCGAAGAAGGTTTCCAACATCCTTAAATGTGGATTTCTTCCCACTTATGTGATAGACAGAAGTGTTATCTCTGTAGGCCGTTCTGGATACACAGAAGTTACTGTTAGGAATGACTTCATAATCATCCCCTTCCTGTTTCGAGGCAAAATAAAACAAGAAAACAACTGTTGATATTAAGTCACTATATTGCTTCAAATTTCACTCCACACTGAAACTAAGTCTATGGATTAAAATACTTAAATAGAACATACATGCAAACTGTCACTAGTTCTCAAAAGTAACCTTGCTTAGCAAATAACAGATACTTTTTCGAATGGTTTGCTTTCTTTCTCAAAGATCCCCAAAACCAAAAAGCCAAGCCAAAGGAACAAAAACTCCACCTATAAACATACTGGGACTGATAAGAACCAAGGAGCTCCACCATAACCAGAATAAACCCATTCCAATTAATCACCATGCTGCTAGAGTAATTACCAGTCCACCTAAAAAGCTACAGGGTGAGATGTACAAGGAAGACACAAGGTGGTGATGCTGGGGTGATATTTTTGGTGATGGTCGTGGAGGAGAACATGCCATTAACTGCAGTAAAAAGAACTGTAAAAAATCCACAACTACATTCTCTGATTTTTAAAAGAAATCATATGCAAATCTACTGTAACATTAAAACTTATTTAAAAGCTCTGTGATATTGAGGCTGTGGCTTTTCAACTGCAGATGAATCAAATATAAAGAGGCAGTGAAATAAAATCTTATTGGCATCTACTTTTAAATCCAAATTGTGGAATAAAACGCACTAAAACAAGCAAAATTAAAATATATGGTTTGGTGTAATCAGTGTTTTTTATATTAAAAAAGGAACAAAAAAATCCAGAAGCTAAGTTACTTACAGTTAGTTTCCTTTTTAGGTTCTTTTTAGTCATTTTTGAACCATTTCCCAAGTTAATCATTAAATACATGATGAGAATCTCCCCAAACAAAACCAGAACCACAGAACCAAATAGTAAACAATCTAAAAAAGACATTTTACCTATCACTGTCTCTTTCTAGCAAACATGTTGGCTTGCTTTCCTCTCATTTCAAAAGTGCTTAATTATAGTACTACAAATGCAAGAAAAGCTCTTTTATATCACAGATACACAAGACCACTAATAATAAATTTAACGTGTACTGAAATAATGGAAAAAATCAGTTGACCACTAAATTTTTAAGTTTATGTAATTTTTCTAAAACAGTAGAATATTTTAAAATATGAATCCATTTATAGTAAAAGATTAACTAGCACTGAGGATCCTCAATCTGCTCAGCGTTTCTCTCCCAAACGTAGGGATTACCATGAGATAATAATTTTTCTAAAATTTTTAATGTTTCATGTTTCACAGACACCACTGCTGCCCCAAAAGAAAATATGGTCTTAAAATAAATGAAAAATCATTATCTCTTTGCTGTAATTACAGACATATTTTACAAATCTGATTTAAACCGACAGTGATAAAATGTGCAATGTATTGCTGTCTTTCGTTGTTCCTTCTGGAAGCTAGAGTAAGTAAATACATAAAATCCCCTTACCTTATCAATTATCTTTTGAAAATGAACTTCTACAGTACAACTCTGAATATCCTTGTGTTCATCAGAATTATGTATTAGTACTGACAGTTTTTTAGACCTTATTTTTTGTGCTCGATAGCCAAACACAAAAAGCATAGAATCGATAACATTGGATTTGCCACTGCCATTTGGCCCAATAATACAGGAAAAGCGCTGCATAAAAAACAGGAAAAAAATTTAAATAGTAATAATAATACTGCTAATTTAAATTTAAACTTCTTGCCTTTTTACTTGCAGCTAAAACCTCAAGCACTTAAAATTTTTCATTGTTAGAAGACACACCAACTTGAGTCTTCTCGTATCATAATCTCTTGTTTTGCAATCCCCAATTCCTTAAAATCATGTTCCAGTTCGAATCCAGACTTTATAGAAGTTATTCTAAGAAACGGGAAACGTTGCTTTCAAACAAAAACATTCAAGGATGAAAACCTTACAAAAACGCACTAAGATAATACAATTTCAGTTGTTACATTCACTATGTGTGTGAGAGAGAGACAGACAGGGACAGGCAGGATAGTTATAAAACTGAAACATCTTGTATTAAAGACGTATGAACTCACAATGGTTATCCTAAATGGGCAAATACCTTATGGAAAGGTCCCAGGACTTTTTCCCCCGCATAGGACTTGAAGTTCCGGTTTACAATATGAGTTATCATAAGCCGAGGCGCTCCAGCTTCATTTGTCATTGCAGGAGGTGGGGGTGGAGGGATACTATTCATAATCTCTTCTAAACTTCGGTTATCAAGTTGCTCACCTGGAGTGTCTAAGTCAAAGGAAAAGGAAGGGAAGGGAGAAAAAAGCCTGTATTAGTTTGGAAGACTACTGTTTGCTAATATTTAAAATATAGACGAGGAATGTTACTTTAGAAACCTAGAAATCTCCATTTCCCGTACAAGTACAGTATTATCCTAAATTCATGGGGATGCTACTTAATCTTTCAGTTTAATTTTACTAAAAATCGAAATTCCTAGAAGAAACGTCAGCAGTCATAAAATCCATAGAACTAAAGTATACTTAGGAATCAAAACACTAGATCGCAAAGTGGATCTGGGAAGAAAACAACGGATTCCCCGCTTCCTATCCCAAACAGGAGACTAAATCCTAAGGTCCTAAGTCAGATCCAGAATTCCGTATCTTTGAGCACTTGAAAAACGCGCTTCAAGGATACCGTCATAGGAGTTTCATAACATGGACAGCTCAATTCCTACACTCAAAATGGCACAGCAATTTTCAAATAAATCATCACCTCTTTAAGGGCAACCTAAGACCACGGAGGAGAGGTTCGGGTCTAGCCACTTTCCAGGTTCAGTTACAGTACTTTCAATCTGGGGGAAAAAAGCGCACTCGCTCTTGGCTGATAATGACTTGGGCAAAAACTCGGTACGCACCGTGTCAGTACCTTCCACAACGCGACACACCAACTCGCAACTGAGCCCTCGGCGCGCCCCGCGATCGCCGAAGGGCCGGCGGCCGCCCCGCGGAGGGCTCCTTCCCCGCGCCCC